TTCACCAGCAGCTCGCCCTTCCCCGCATCCACGCTGAAATACTGCTCACCAGCCTCAGAGGCGACGCGCAGCTTACGGTCAAACATCTCAGATAAAGACAAACCCAGATCTTTTGCTATATTTCCAACCACGGATCCCTGCTTTAGCTCCTCCGGGATGCTGTAACGAGTCTGTCCTTCTGATAAGCTCCACAGGAGGAAGAAATGATGCCACCAAAGAWAAAYCCATCTCCWGTCTCTGTATTCCATTCTCTTTGTAATCACCGATCCAGTTAGGACTTAATATTTCCCATCCAAAAAAAAAAAAGTTACAATCCAGTTCCGACGGACATCAGGTAAAGTCGTAAAAAAGATGTAAAATGTGTCTGTCCATGTTGGGATGTTTAAGGAAACTGGTTTATTCTCTCTGAAACATGAGCACATCACACCGCCGTCTAGCTCGTTGCATTGTSAACGTTTCTGGTGCTGAAGCTGCACGAAGGAGGGGGTAGATCTCTTTGTATTCCTCTGTCTCCTATTGGATCAGAACAGCTTTCMCTAACAACCAATCTGAAGCTGGCTGAACACTGCCAGTAACAGCTCCTTATGAGGGCCACCCTGCACAGTGCTGAATGGAGGACAGATTCAAAAACTATATTATTTGTTTCAGTATAGAGCTCTGTGTCAGTGATCATTTAAACAATATTCAATATTTGCAGGAAAAAAATCCAAAATATAATAAAAAAAACTTGAGTGGTGAAAAGATGCCAAAACAAATTTATATATAAGAAAAAAAACCGTGTTAAATATTTAAGGTTAAAAAGCACCTCTGTGTAATAATACAAAAAACCCCGTAGAACCTGCTAAAACATCACGAAAAAAAGAAGAAAGAAAAAAGTCAGAAGTCAGGATTCTCCGCGTTTCTCAACTCAATGTCGCTATCCACACCTTTGGTGCTGAAGTCAAAAAATATATTCTCCTCATCTGACACTCTCATTGTTGCATTAGTAATTTTTGAAGCATAAAAATGCTATTTAAGCAAACAAATCTTACCATATCATATGTCGTTTTCACATAATTCTGCATAATTCATAATAATTATTCAAAAATTGCAAACATTTCATGAAAATATAAAATCGTTCAATCCTTTTACGGTTATTTCCAAGAATTATAGAGTGCAACGTTTTTGTTCAAGTTTATCAAAGTAACATTTCTTAATACTCGCTCCTCACCTGCTGGCTCTCAA